TAAATAACATTCCAAGAGATTCCAAATACAGTTTGACGTTATTTGGATGGGATGAGCTACTAAGAACGTGTTTTGCTTAATCTAGTTACGTAAACTCCTGAAGGGACAAAAAATAATAAATAAAAAATAAAATGATATTAACTTTCGTTTTTTTTTTCTGTACTGATTTATTGGTAGTTAAATTTTTTAAATTTATACGATATAGGGGTATTTAGTTAGTAACATATAAAATATTTATCCTAAAATTTCAAAATATGCATTATCATTTGATATATTTTGGAAAGAATAGAATTTTAGAACACGCATTATTTTTCATATACTAGTGGGCTGTGCGCCCTGATAGCTAGCGCTCCATGTAAAAACTTTTTTATTTTTTTTTTAAATTACATCTTTTTAGTAAATACTAAATCATTAAAATAAATTTGAATTCAAATAAATGACATGTAATTCGTTAAACCTATTAGAAATGTGCTATAGTATAATTCGTGATCTAAATCAAAAATCGTCAATTAAATTTGTAATTTATAAATTAGTGAAAAAAAGCGCTTTCGACAAGATACTAAAATAGAGATCTATCGACAAAGACTACTCACTTCAGCCTAGCTTAATAATATGAGATAGCCGCAGCTGATGCTCTTTGGTTATTTCAGTTTCCGTTTTTAAAAAGCGCTATATGTTGAGCCACCTCAGCTAGATTTGGCATGTGACATTTTTAGCGGCAATCATGGGTCGATTCGCCGTGTAAGAGAAATAGTAACGTGAACAAAGCAAAGCAAACGCTGCCACCGGCCGAAAAGAAATACAGCCAAAATTCGGGAGCCACGTAAGAGAATTATATATATTAGATTATTAATAAACATTATAACAAATATTGCAAATAAACTATACGACACTCAACAAAAATTGTCACAGTTCTGCAGTAAAATGGAGTATAATATGCATTGGAACTTTTTGAGGGGTTTTAATTGTTCATTTTTAGTTTTAAACATTGGAAGAATGGATGGTTTTAGATTTTTCATGCCCACACATTTTTTGATCACTTATAAGATCACATTCAACTACATAACCACAAATAAATATTTGTAAGAATCTTAAAAGCATTAATAAAAGAAAGCAGCTCACGATCAAATAAAACGAACAGACGATAATCTTGGATTTTCTTGGAGCCTTTATTTAATGACTAAAACTTCTAGTTTAGAATGTCATATAACATTTTCGAGTAAAAATTATTATAGGATACTATACGTAGAAAAAAACCATGTAGAAAATCAACAAGTGATTAGTTTTTATACACCGAACTTATTTTTTAGAAATGTCAGTGTCATCGGCAAAAATGTGAAAACAATTCTGGATACTTTCTACTCGAACGAGTTCATTTTCATTGAATAATTTGAAACTTATGTTACCTCAATTTTTTATGCATTTTTGGAAACCTTGCCGAAAATGAGTCTAAAAAGTGATATGGATTCAGAGTTACAAATTAATATTGAACTAAAAGGGCAAAAACTTGATGAATCATACATTATGAATCATAAATGATTAATCATAAATGATGAATCATACATTAGTTAAACGGGTTGAAATTCTACTAAGACAGTTTGATTGGCGAATGCAACTTGAAACTCGAATGAAACTAATAGCTCGTATTAACAATTAACTAATAGCTCTAAGCTCGTCTCACAACAAAACTAGTTTTTAATGTTTTTTAATCTCTCTTTTCACATAAATGATTTATTAGCTTTAAATAAAGTTTTTTTAAACACTCAAGCATAAATTTGAAACCCTAGTGAGCACATATTTTTTTAAAAATATTCTTTCTTTTTTTTAAAAATAAAAATAACATAGACTAACGATGAACGGCACAAATAAAGCACATTAAAACTGATTATTAAAATGTCTGATTCAAAAAATATATTATTATACCGGATATCAGGATTTTTCAAACCCCGTGTAAAAGCTTACCCAATCACTGATAAAATCTCTTAAATAAGCGATGAAATCGGCACAAATAAAGTGCACATTTAAATTTCGAGTGTTGTATTAAAAATATCGGGATTTTCAAAGGAAAATGCGTAACAATTAAGTTTCTCAAAACGATAGCTGTTTAGATACACGATAAAATTGAAACAAATAAAGAACATCAAATGTGTATCAAATCGAAATTCGCTCGTTTATTTAATACCGTATTAAAAAGATCGAAATTTTAAGAAATAAGCCGAAAATCCCAAAATTCGATCGAAAAGCCACTTGTATTAACTATGAAATGAACACAAACAGCTTCATACTAAAGTTTGAAATTCTAACGTTAAAAAAAAATTTTTTTTTTTTGCATTAAAAATATTGAGATTTTTAAAGCTTTGGACACTTTGTAGCGATAAATACAATGATTTAAATTCGGCGCATAAAAACTTAATGCACAATTTAAAAATATTTTTTTATTTTCCAAAAAAAATGTATATTAGTTATTTTTTATTATTATAATAAGGTGTTGCCGAGATGGTTCAGGGGAGAGAGCGTTCGCCTGTCAATGAGGCGAACTGGGTTCGAATCCCTGTCTATATGAATCCCGCAACCGGCTTGCATCGACCACAGTACTGACGTGAAATATCCTCAGTGGTAGACTCATGGGTTAGAGTCTCCTTGCCGTCAGGCTAACCGTGGGAGGTTCTCGTAGTCTTCCTCCTCATGTAACGCAAATGCGGCTTAGCTAAATTAAAAAGTCCACCAGGAAGGCAAATTTCCCACAATACTCGATCCAAGAGTTCCCTTGTCTTCTGGAGATTGGGTTCAAAATTACAAGGCTATGGTGTTGAACATTAGTAGTCGTAAACTCATAAAATTGGGTCGGCTGTTCAACGACGGTTAGAATAAGTTGCTGCAACGGGCTGCGGGTTGAACACCCCTATAAATACAGTGTATTATTTCTGGATCGTGCGCCCTCAAACCTGGGAACCACCCACTCCCGCCCTGTGTTATAGGGGTGTTATTCTGCATTGAAAAGAGGCAAGATTTGTCAGAACTTTTCAAAATTATACAATTACATTTTCTTAACATATATATCTACAGATATCTGCACATTTTCGGAATTGAAAGTGTGAAACAGATGTTTGATTAGAACTGGAGCGTTGATTTTCCCGATAAAAAATGACGATAAGAAAATTTAAGATTTCGTACTTAGTTTTATTACAAATCATTTAATAACTAGTGTTATTTATTAGATAAAATAATTATGTAAAATTACATATTTTTGCATTTTCTGATATTTTTACTTTTTACGCGTTTTTCCCTGCTCTTTCTGTGTATTACAATATTTTTATCTCAATGATATTTTTTAAAAATCCACTTAAACTTCACTGGTAACCTTAATTATTAAAATAATTTCTTATATTATATAGTTTCTTATATTATACATGTGTGTGTGTGTTTGCGTGTGAGTTAAAAATATAGAGAAAGCATGGAGAAAAATATAAAGAATTTTTAAAACGGAAGAAGAAAAAATTATAAAAATAAAACATTTTTTTAAAATTATTTTTAAATAAATCTTAATCCTCCTTATATCTTAATCCTTTTCCTTATTTTGTTTTTCGACTTTTATTGCTAGTTTTAAATTTTTTTTCCGTATTTTCTCTATAATGTTAACTTGTTTTATGAGTTCCATGTACTTGCAATGCATATTATACACTGAAGAGCCAAAAAAAACTGGTATACCTGCCTAATATCGTGTAAGGCCCCCGCGAGCACGCAGAAGTACCTCAACACGACGTGGCATGGATTCGATCAAAGTGTGAAGTACTGCTGGAGATAATTGACACCATGAATAATGCAGGGCTGTCCATAAACCAGTGGGAGTGAGAGGGGGTGGGGATATCTTCTGAACATCACGTTGCAAGGCATCCCAAATATGTTCAATAATGTTCATGTCTGGGGATTTTGGTGGCCAGCGGAAGTGTCTAAATTCAGAAAAGTGCCGCTGGCCACCAAATCCATGCCACGTCGTGTTGAGGCACTTCTGCGTGCTCGCGGGGGCCTTACACGATATTAGGCAGGTATACCAGTTTTTTTTTGGCTCTTCAGTGTATAATATGCATTGCAAGTACATGGAACTCATAAAACAAGTTAACATTATAGAGAAAATACGGAAAAAAAATTTAAAACTAGCAATAAAAGTCGAAAAACAAAATAAGGAAAAGGATTAAGATATAAGGAGGATTAAGATTTATTTAAAAATAATTTTAAAAAAATGTTTTATTTTTATAATTTTTTCTTCTTCCGTTTTAAAAATTCTTTATATTTTTCTCCATGCTTTCTCTATATTTTTAACTCACACGCAAACACACACACACATGTATAATATAAGAAACTATATAATATAAGAAATTATTTTAATAATTAAGGTTACCAGTGAAGTTTAAGTGGATTTTTAAAAAATATCATTGAGATAAAAATATTGTAATACACAGAAAGAGCAGGGAAAAACGCGTAAAAAGTAAAAATATCAGAAAATGCAAAAATATGTAATTTTACATAATTATTTTATCTAATAAATAACACTAGTTATTAAATGATTTGTAATAAAACTAAGTACGAAATCTTAACTTTTCTTATCGTCATTTTTTATCGGGAAAATCAACGCTCCAGTTCTAATCAAACATCCGTTTCACACTTTCAATTCCGAAAATGTGCAGNTATATATATATATACCAATTAGTACAATCAAGCAGAATATTAAATTTATGGGACACTCGTGCATCTGTGTCCAGAAAGGCTCGAATTATTATGACTTTTTTGAAAAACATATTTACGCAAGTCGAACTTAGGAATCCACAAGTTGTTGGGGAATCTAACACACTTCACATAATTTTAACTGATTCATGCCATACTTAATTCTTATTGTTATATAATTAATTTCAAAGAATATTAATTCCTGTTTATTTTTCAAACAAATAATGCATCTACAATAAGTCATAAAACAAACATTTCTTTTTTTTTTCTTCTTCCAGGTTCTGTTATTGTGTATAATTGGTTTGGCATTTGCTACTGAAAGAAACGAGCAGAACTACAAAGGTCCAGTCATTTACACAAATTTACCCCCTCCTATTCTCTTCTTTCCTAACTTCCCTGATGAGCAACAAAAAATGGTGAGTGAGGAAAAGCGTATCGAATACGCTCCGCTCCCTTACGAAGATCTCCCTCTTCTCGTTTACCATTCAGAGGATCAACCTCCCATTCATGTGGTGCAGAGAGACAACAGACCGCAGCAGCAGGCCCCTTCATCAGGGCTACCAGACCTACAAAACCATCAGTTTATCAGTATAGGTCTATCCACGGTACAACATTTACCGCCTGAATCGGTTGAAACACACGACAGCTCGCCTGATGATCAACAGACTTCGAATCAACACTTCCCAGAGCCTCAGTACAAGGAAGCAGCACCACCGCCCATAGCGATTAATCCTTCACAACTATTGGACAGTAACTCGCCCATCAAAGCAAAACTGCATCAGTTGCTGCAGCAGCATAATGCTCTGCGTCATCACGTCGAGCAACTCCAACTTACACCACTCACAAAAGACGGGCCACCATCCAAAATGAACAAAGCACAGCAGCCGCAGCAGCAACAGCAGCAAATATTAAGGCATCCGCCACTTGCTAATCATCAACAAATGCAGGAAGCTCCTCCAGCAACAAAGAGGCCTGCTCCTATGAATCGACCTTTCCAAGCCTCAATGGGTGAAATGACGCAAGATTTTCCTCAAGGGCATCACGGCATAGGACCTCAAAACATTCCAGAATTTCAAAGTGAAGGATATGCTAATCATCAACAAATGCAGGAAGCTCCTCCAGCAACAAAGAGGCCTGCTCCTGCGAATCGACCTTTCCAAGCCTCAATGGCGCAAGGTTTTCATCAAGGGCATCACGGCATAGGACCTCAAAACATTCAAGAATTTCAAAGTGAAGGATATGCTAATCATCAACAAATGCAAGAAGTTCCTCCAGCAACAAAGAGGCCTGCTCCTACGAATCGACCTTTCCAAGCCTCAATGGGGGAAATGGCGCAAGGTTTTCATCAAGGGCATCACGGCATAGGACCTCAAAACATTCCAGAATTTCAAAGTGAAGGAAGTCCTAGAGCCGAACAGATGAAAAGGCCTGTCACTAGGCATCGAAAAGTAAATTCTGGAGAGCGGAGAAAATCCCAAGGAGATTCGAAAAATGATGCGATGAAGGAATCAGGACGCGTTAGGGAGCAAACTTTAAAGCAAACAAGAGGCCGAACTGCCCCTTCGAATCTTAATTCAAAGGAACAGTATCAACAAATAATTATTCACGTCCCTCACAGTGTTGTTGGAAAACCCCGAATTGCTATCCTCCGGGACAATACTAAGCCACATCTGAGAAATAATAACAAGAATAGTGGCCCATTCCGAGTACCCCCTCCAGAAAATAGACCAAACAATCATCCTTCCAAACATCTTCCTGATCCTAGAGTGTTCAAACAATTTCATGTTCAGAATGAACAAAAGCCTCCTTCCAGTGACAGGAGAGGGTCGTCACCTCCCCATTACCACCCACACATCAACATTTCTTCACCCAGAAGACGTTCATCTACTGGTCACTCAGAATACGCTGAGGCCATTGATAATCACAAGCGGCTTCTGGACAAAATTTCAGGACATGCCTTGAGAACTTTTGTAAATAATTTAGAAAAAGCTAGAGCAGAGACTGGTTCCCGGAATTCTGAAGTTCGGAAGTTTAAACAGGGGAATTCAGATGGAAGAAAATTCATTTCGCAGGCAGATATTTCTGTGAAAAGGGCGCGTATTTTTATAAACTTGAATTCAAAGAAGAAGCCACCTATTATCGTATACAAAGGTCGTAAGCCACCCATAGAAATCTATGGAAACAAACAAGACTTAAGGATCGGTGCCCATTAAATGTTCTTAACTGCGATTCAATTTAACTGTTGTCAATAGAACATTCTGGAAAGGCTTTCCAACAAACTAGAATAATTATCGATTGTTGTTTACCCATTTTCGGCCACAGTTGCGTAAACGTACCATTTCAATAAAAATAAAAATAAAAACATTCTGAAGATATCTAGAAAATATTAATAATTTAAATGAAGTAATAACTTTCTGTTCAGAAATTTTTTAACTCCGCTAGTTTCTTAACTTGAAACGGTGATAGACAAATTCAAATTTTTGAAAATGTACAATTATTCCATTTGGTTTTATGATGGGCTAAAGTAGCAAATACTGTAAATGAGATAAAAGAAATTTCATTTAGTGTTCAACTAAATGTTTTGTCCATTGACTAATGGTACATATACGCTCCATTTTATTTCTTGAACAAAATACATTTCATGCACAAAACTTTTGTGTCTGAATGAATGCAATTTAAGCACTTTTCAAAGAAAATACCGCATTTGATAAAATGTCTGTGTTGGTTCAAAAATGGGTTACAGCAATGTGTGAAGAAACTACAGTTGTCAGAGTTGTCGTTGAAATAATGGAGAAACAATCAACTGTTATTCATGTGATTAAAACAAGGAATCAACAAACTACAGTTGCCGTTAAAACAATCAGTTCAACAAATTACAGTTTATGGAGTTGTGGTTAAAACAGTTGGTTCAGAGAATTACAGTTATTGAGTACCATTCAATGAAAGGATCAAGAAACTACAGTCATCAATTGATACAATGAATCAACAAGCAACAGTTGTCAGTTTTAATTAAAACAATGAATTAACAAACTACAATCGTCAGTTATTCTTAGAACAATGAATCAACAAACTACAGTTACCTGTTACCATAAAACAAATATGAATACAGTTATCCGAGTTGTTATCAAAACGAGGGTTGTCCAACTTTTTTCCTAGTCTCACCTTAAAGTACGTTGTTGACTTTAAACTGTTTTAATAAAAGGATGGCATTGCTGTAATGTGGTTCTTCTGAAATTATTTTTATGCAACAATGCGATTTTTATGCAACTATTATCAGAACCCATCACTTTCTCCATATCCTCTGCTCATTTAAAAAAAAAATGCGTCCTATATTCTTTTTGATATAAAATTTATAGGATACTGACTTCAAAATCTCTTAAACACACAACATCAAATGGTAGGTCTATTGTGAAAAGTTTTATACAGAAATTTCAGAATTTAGTTACGAAAAATTCCGTCAAATGGAGCTGTTGATGATCAGAGCTATCAAATATAGCAATAAAACATGAGATGAGGTTTTCATATGGAATTAGGAGGCTTAAATCATGTATTATATTTATATAGCACTACGATATTTGTATTTTTTCATAAACTCTGAACAGAGTACAGCGCTATCTTCTGACAACTAAATACCTAAATTTCTGCCTAAAATTGTTTTCAACTTTATCATTAGACATACCGCTAATTTCGTTCCTAAATCGCCTTTTTCTGGGTTATTCAATATTGAAATCAGTCTTTACGAACGATATTAATTCAGAACGAAAGATATTAACCGGTCTTTTTTTAAAGAAAAATTTATGCCTTATTTATTCTGATTCTTCGTTCTAAAGTTTTCCGAAATTCAAATATTCATTTTTTCTCGACCCACTCTTTTAAACTTCATATTATGTCTGATGATTAATTATTATCTGTCTAATAGCAATTGTTACAATTTGTTCTTTAATGATTAAATCACGAACAGATTTAGGAAGATAAAAAGTATAATAAACAGAAATTCTGTATTCATTTAAAAATAAATACTTTTTAAGTATTCAAGTGCTCTATGTGTAGAATTTTGTTGACATCCTTTTTCGACAATTTTCAATCTCAATATGCTTAGGTCACTGAATCACGGTTAGTCGCGAAACTTTGAAGCTGGCCCACAACGGGCTGTTGGGGGAATATTTTTTATTGTATTTCTTCAAACTATTTGGATATGGAACTATTTTCTTTCTTACAGTTTGCATACATTCTTCTGGTGATGGTTAATAGGCAATCACGACTTAAATGGCGAGACAATCGAAAACAAAGATCCTACTTATTAACCTTATCTTATGATTGATGCGATGTTTATCAATCTCCTACTTTTGAATTATTTTATAACATTTTTCATCCCTTGATGTTAATGGGTCCGAAGCAATACTATAAAAAGTGTCTCATTTCAGAGTTGCGGTATTAAATTTGTATTTCAAAAGAAATAGAATCCGAAAACAGTCTACGTTTTCCGCGTGAAAAACGGATTTTTGTATTGCATTGTTGTCATTTAAACTGTCTTTTCCCTTCAATAATTTGAATTGTCAACAATGTTTAGCTTTTAAAAACGAATTTCAGTCTATCGCACTTTTTTTAAATTCCTTTTTATGTTATGTAAATACAACCAACTATGGGATGTGGTTACACCATTTGATTTTAAAAGCTTTCTGAAATTACGCGTTTATTTAGCTTAGAGTAACGTTTTTATAACTCCGTTTTTTAAAATTTAAATAACGTTAAATCAACGATAACTGAGCTGAAAAAATTTTACATACTTTAGTGTCAATTCATCGGCGATTTTGTTTGATTGTGATTAATATTGCAAATTGAAATTATTTTTTTAAAAAAAACTTTAATTGTGTCGGTATGCGCATTTCAGTTTTGTACAAGATTGTGTGTTGAAATAAATACATTAATTAAATTTTTTTTAATCTTTTTTTATTGTACAGTTACTTCTTATTCAGTTGGTAAAAAAATAATTTGAAGCGAACTTCAAAAGCTGCTTTACGGGCAAAAGTGGTAATAAACCGAACAATCAAGCGTTATCTGCTTTTCAAAAGTTCAAGTATTAACTAACGTTTAAAAAAAATTGAAGCAAGAAAATGACTGAGAAAAAAAAACTGAGATGACTATTTGTAAATTTGAATTCTTATTACTCCTAACTACTTTCTTAATTCTTCTCAAAATATTCTTTTCACTTCTCTCGAACGAAAATTGGAATGTACAGTGAGCTAAATATAAAACAGACCACCCTGAATAACTTTTGATCTAATGATCAGATCCTCACGTTTCTAGAACTCAATCTTAATGGTTCAAGGGGGTGTTCTCAAATATGCTAATTAATGAGTGCTAACACTATTTTAAGTTACATAATCAGACAAAAAAAAATTTACTTTCTCAGAATACCTTTTCTTTCCGACGGATTTGAATTTATGACTCCTACGCTATAGAGAGTATCTGCAATCTGGAAAATATAGTGTCCATACTTAGGGCAGGGAAAGGGTTCAAAGTTTGGAAATCTTAATGTTCATTTTAAATTTTACGAAAACTCAGTGCCAACCGTTAATTAAAAGAAATTCTGATGATATTTTATCTGCAGTAAGCAGTTAATGAAAGGTTGTTAAATATAGTATACATTTGTCTGTTTCTGAATTTTTAATAAACATCTTTGTTTTGCGCCATTTCCCGTTATGAGATCTTTGTAGCATCCTACATATCGAACTTCACCAGTTTAATTTGTAATAAAATTCAAATTTAAAAAATCTAAAAACTGACAAATGTGCAGCAGTTTTAAATGACACAAAAGGCATGACACAAAAGGCATCATTTTATAACTTTAAAATTTATGCGGTAAATTCCAAAGAAGTAGTAAAAATTACGCGGACACTTCACGGTAGAATAATTTAAGGAGCACTCATATCCCTCGGTCCTTTCCCACTGCGGCCAGTAATGCTTAACGTCACAGATCTGCTAGGAACCGTGTCCTAACGATTAGGCCACTGCCAAGTGAGTATTTTCTTCTATTAGCTACCACTAAGACTTTTAAAAAAGCTTTGCCTATTTCCTATCTTTTAAATTTGTTTTATTCTACAAATTTAATCATTCCTAATCACTTTTTAAATGAAATAAATCAGTTAATTAATTTTAATTTAATTTTTGACGTAAGGCGAATGCAAATTCACTAACTACCAAAAATTCTCCATCGTTTTATAATGGTGTAGATTAAGGAATTGAAGTAGATGATGAAAGAAAACAGGATTATAATCATGATAAAGCCTTTATTCAGTAGAGCAACTGAGATTCAAAATTAAAGAATGTTATATCCAAATAACTTTTTTTGTGTAAAATAAAATAAATTTGCTTAATACTATTGCTAAGGAAAGTCCATGGGTGATTAAAATCCAACACGTTTCCCCTGATCATATTTTATTTATTTTTTATAACCGTCGTTGAACAGCCGACCCAATTTTTTGCGTTTACGACTACTAATGTTCATCTCAGTAGTCTTGTAGTTTTGAACCCAGTCCAGAAGATAAAGGATTGGTCATCTTAGTCGTCACGTATTAAAATTGTGCAGCAGTTAAGGTAAATTTATAAGGTAAACACAATTTTGATTGTCTAATTTTAGCAATAAGCATCGACTTTGACATTCTCATATCATAACTATATAACAATTTAAAGACCATCTGTTTATTTATTCCTGATTCAGGAAAGACTTTATGTGTGACAAGATATTGAGTCAAATAAGAGAATCTTAACAATTTTTATACTTTACTTTAAATAAAGAAAGTAGTTTTAATGCAATTGGGTTGAAAGGCTGTTCTCTAAAACAATTAATCGATGTTATGATAATAAAACAAGACGCTTACGATCAGTTATCACAGCAAAAGTAAGATTTTTATTAGCAAATAAGAAACAATTATTACCATTCTGCAAGGGACAGAAAAAAAAATTGGTCAAACAATTTTCAGACGAACAGAATGCATAACAATCTAATAATAAATGTTTAAACTTTTAAAGCAAGTCACAAACAGTAACAGCTATTGTGTAAACAAAAGTAAATAAATAAATAATACAAGTTGTTACTGAGACTATTATATGATTCGAGCAACTTAAAAATTCATTTGAAATTTTAAAAACTAATGAATACTTCAAAAATAATAACAAAAAAGTTTTCTGTGTCTCATTTTTGAGGCAGAATATAAATTAAAATACACATCTCACTTTTTTTGATCCTGCTTTTCTCTGAATCGTTCTTATCAAAATAGATGCTTCGTCCTAAATTACGTTACCTTAAGTTAGTAAATGTGTTTTTGTACTAAGGAGGAAAAAAAAAAGTCTCATTTTAGAGTGTCAATAAATTTAATAATTTTCATAGTATTTTTCCACATCTTTATTAGAAGCTCATGAATTGAATAAAAAACATCCAATTGTTGAGTTCCAAAGACCAATTGTTGAGTTACAGAATCGAATAAGCTAAAGTTGTTATAAAATTATAAATGATGAAATTAAGGATGCATAGCATGAAAGGATAAGTATATACAAAATATATGATAAAATTAATTAGGAAACAAATAAAAAACAGGTGAATAATTTCACATATGCAGAAATAACAGTGATAGAAGCAAGAGTATAGGAAAATATCGGAATTTTCCCTGACAAATTTCAGATACATTTAAAAAAAGTTTAGCTGCCGCAATTTTAAGTTTTAATAAATGCGATTTGATTTTATAAAAAATAAATTAACTATGCGAAAATAGTAGTGCATATGTCCTAGATTTGTTTCTTTATGTCATGTCATTACTTAAAAATATTTTTCCCTTTATTTTTATAATAGTACGCATTTTCTGGAAAATATTAGAACAAATTTAATGAAAAATTTTCTCATTTTTTTAAGTACTCCCTTTTGAAGAAAGAAGAATAGATTTTCGATCGAAAGTTGCTCAGTATAAAATAAATGTAATGTTTTTATAATTTCTAAAAAAATTTTTTTTTTTTGCTATATACACTCTATAACAAAAAAATCGACGCACCAAGAAGCAATCATCCAATTGCTTTGAAATTTCGTATGCATGGCTGGAATGATGCAGACTAGAGACGTACAGTCCAACTGCGTCCTGACGATCATCGAAGAAGTGTTTGGAGACGCACAGGGCAGAGGGGGGATCCTGCCTTCACTATTGCACGCCACACCGGCCCTCAACAA